CTTAATGCTTATGAAAACTTGTGCTACAGATTCATAAAAATAAATGTTTAATGATTAGCCATATTTGCACTGTACAGTAATGAAGATAAATACTTATTGTTGCATTGGGTGTGGTCCATCTTCTAGAAGGGTTTTACTGTAAATTGCATGCATATATGAAATTGCTTCCCTTTACAAAATAAAGATCTTAAAATGACGTATAATGACACTGTAGGGAGAAAACAGTGCTGTATATGCACTCCTGTAGATTTTATCTGTAAATTCCTTTTACTTTTTTTTTAATAGAATTTGGAGCACACTCTGTTTAGAGTAATATCAGAGATGTTACCTATCCACATAACTGAGGTATAGATTAGACTCCCTGAGCTATGGGGGAAGAAAGTGATTTTGAGCAACTATAGCATACAGTATAATTACCTTTAAAGCATGCTTTTTTATTTTGGTGAGTAGTGTAGGTATTTCAGTGGGAATGTGTAAGTTGGACTCCTTTCTGGTTAGGGGTCCAGTTATGCAGATGATCAGTATTTAGACTTCATAGAGAAGTAGGGCTAGAAGGGACCTCCATATTTCATTTAGTCCAACCCTCTGCCCCCCCGGCCTTGCAGGCCCAGCCCAACTATCCCTCTTGGGATCTACAGGGGAGCCAGGCTAGGTCTGCAAGCCAGGGGGGCTCCATTTCCCCCTTTCCCCACTACAGCTCTGGAGAAGCGCGTGTTGGGTTCAGTGGCGCTCTAACTCATGGTGCTTTGTGTAAACCACCCTGGTTGTAGTGCCTCTCCTACAGGCTGCCTAAACTTCTGTACGCAGCCTAGCTTTTTCATTTTTTCACTATAAGAGCGTGTTTAATTCCTATGGTAAACTGATCTCCCTTTGTCTTGCAGCCTGTGAATCAACTGTTCAGCTGGTGTTTGATGCAGTCATACATTTAGGATGTAAACCATACTTGGATAGTCAGAGAGCTGCCTGTATGTGCCAGTATGAGGACAAGAGAGACCTTTAAAAGAAGATACTGGAAACCTTACAAACTAGAACTGTGGAAGGCTCAACCTGAGCAAAAGAACCAGCATTTTGTTACAAGCTGTTTTTATTTCATTTTTGTGAAGTGTAATGTTGGTATGAAAGTGGATCTGTTTTCACAGGGACATTGGGTCTTTTTTCCCCTCATTTAAAACGTGTGTCTACTTAAGCCATTCGGTCTTGAAGCTTGGTACTGAAAGCAGTGTCCTTCAGTACTTCCACACAAGCTTCTCGCAGGCTGTTGATTGAATGCTACTGAAAACTACTGATGCCTTTTTACTTAAAACAATTCTGCACACATTTGGTGAGGAACATGAAAACAATACAGACTTCAGGCTTTTTTTTTTAAATAGGTCAGATTTAGGGGTTAAGCAGGCCTTAAATGTCTAGTGTATCTTTGAAGGGATTTTGTGAGTTCAATATTTGATCTTAAATGTTTTGCACTTTTAAGCTGTTGGTGGAATATTACTGTGATTAACTGACTTCTGTTTTTCTACTTTGATTGTATACCTTGCCATGTTTGAATTGACTAGACAAAACCCTTTAGTGATGACATACAACTAAAGCCAAAGAGCCTTACTGTCTGCTTACATTCCCAGCTTACTCTGCAGCACTTCTCAGATCCATGTGGATACTTTCAAACTTGTGTTGCAGAACCGGACAGTTTACAGCCAAAAAATATGCAAGGTGACACTTGATCTGATGATGCTGAAACACAGCTGTAATTTCATAATTAATTTCAAATAGATGGTATTTTTAGATCAAATTTAATTATATATGATTATTTGTAACAAAGGTCTATTTGTTTCTACATAGCAAAAGATACATCTTGATCTGTTCAGAGGGTGATTTTATATTTGTGTTGTGTTGACTATGTTACTGTCTTCATCTCTTAGCTACTCTTCACCTTATCTATATTCTTTTTCATAAAAAAATTAAAAATATTTTCATAACTTGCAGTGTCTTAATGTTTCATCTAGTTGGACAAATGTGCTAAAGACATCTTCATGTAAATGTATTCCTCCTACAGAGTTAACAGAACTTTTTGATTCCTAACTGTTCCCTCTGGGACATAAACAGCTTATTTAGTTTAACTGACCTGAGCTATCTGTAGTAGGTTACTTTGTTTTTTTAACAAGCAAGAACTTCACCAAGAAACTATGATATTTCTTTTTATCTGCAGCTATCAGACTGTCTTTTGTATGGTGTTTGATATCAACTTCCAAATCTATGACCAGTTATCAGGTATTATTGCTCAATGTGCGACCCCATCTGGGCATTTGTGAAGATTGCAACTTTTGATTAAATGCTGTGCTGTTTGTTGGATACCACATTTGCACAAGGGGTTGTCCAAGATATTCATCTTTATAAAGTGTTGTTTTGAAGTGTCATCCAGATCTCAGTCTGTTCATCTTGATCCACGCTTCTCTGTTAAGGTTGTACCTGATGGAAGACTTGTTTGGTGTTGGTATAATATGCTGTAGGAATAGATATAACCTTTTCTAGCAGTCGGTCTACTCCATTGCCGCCCATAGGTTCAGTTCAACATCTGCCAGGAGCTTCTGGGTTTCATGTACGAATGATTTGTGACTTCTGAGCCTCTTAATCTTCCATCTTTTTGAGTCTTCAATTAACATGGTGTAGGTGATTTTTTCATCATCTCTTGCCTCTATTGGCAGTAAGGATGTTGGGGGGGGGGGGTAGGTTTTGCAGCCTGTTGTGAGTCGTGGTGCACTATTAAGTAGTGTCAAATGTCCAGCTTTTTACCTTCTGAACCATACAGGAGCACAATATCCTGCTGGGGTATATACCATTGCAAGTGCGGTGGTTCTGAGCACTTTGAAGTTGGCACCCCATGTCAGGCTGGCTAAGTATCTTAAGACAACTACCCATGCAGAAACTTTACTGCTGACTTTCTGAATGTTACGTTTGTTCATAGGTGAGGGAATGGTCTGATGCAACTCCTAGGTAGGTTGAGGTATACACATGGGGAAGGATATAGTTACCTACTCTGATATTTGTTGTGATCTTGGCTCAGTGACTGTGCAGGTGGAAGAGTGACGATATTGATTTTATGCTCAGCTTGAAGCACCACTTGTGGAGATGAGTCAGGGATGAGTTCCATGTCAGTGTCTTTTCTAGTTCTGTCATGTCTATTCCTTGAGCTACTATGGCAACATTATCAGTGTACCTGTATCAATCAGATTTACTGATAACTTGCAACAAATCCCTGTGTCTGCTAAGACTTCAACTTTCACTTCAGGTTCTGTTTTAATTTTTTTACTCCACTTGTTTGTGGAATCCTAATGTACACTATTTCCTTGAAAGAGGAATGGAAACGAATAGCCTAAAATTGCTTGATAAGTTGGGCTCAATTCTGTTAGTGCTTTTCTTTGATTTATAGAGTGATTGAGTAACTGAAATATACTTACTTCCTCTGGAATTAGGACAGTTTTAAAGTGCCTACTAAGGTATTATGAGTCATGTTTTCAGAAACTTCTGCTTTGAAAAGTTTTTCTAATGCATAGTGTGATACAATACAATGCATCTTGCTGATACAGAAGTGTTCCTACAAAAAGGGTTAAACAGTTCTATTCTGTGTGTATGTTTTATTTTTTAAATGTATGGTATATATTGTGGCTTACTAGGATTGTATGCGTTATAATATATAATTTCAGCGTGTTTAAAGTCTATAAAACATTTTGCTCTCTTAAAATTGGAAAAGATGACAGTGCTTTGGAATAGCTGAGTTTAGGTTTCTAACTTAATTTATTCGGAGCTAATCTGGACTCCCTGTTTCCAGTTCCCAGATTATCATCCATACCACAGCAGCGAGCACGAACACAGAAGCTGCCTCATGTAAAACACCTATTTAATCAAAACAATAACTATAACAGATATTCATAAACTAAGTTGGATATGTAAAATCTTATTCGATGTGCTTGACTAAGCACATAAAGAGTTGAGGGGCTGTCTGCTACTGCATCTTGCAGTTGCTACGTGAAAGCATTTCAACAAACAAAAGGAAATATCAGACTACTTTGGGGGAAAAATACCTTCAGTACTGGTAAATAGTAAGTGAATGTTTTAGTGGCTTGAAAAACTGCCTGCAAAGCAAAGGTAGCCTTTCATTTCTTCTGGAGTCTGAGAATTTTTGCTCGCAGGGACCATGCTTTTGTTCTGACATGTAATCAACAGTGTGGTTCTCAACCTTTTCAGACTCAAGGCATCCCTCTGAAGATGCCAGTTCTTAGGTGTTGCAATTTTTGACTGGAAAAAATAATAAGAGCAATTATATTTTGTGCCAATGAACTCAGACCACAACAGCTCAGAATGCTTTTAATACAATGGGTTCCTACACAATCTCTGGGGTTTGTCTTGTAAGTTATTTGTAAGTGTTTGTACACCTAATGCTGCTAATATTGCATGGTACTCTTAAAAGGATCTCTCAGCACCCCAGGATGTCATGGCATCCTGGCTGAGAATCACTGCTATAAAAAAAAAAATACCAAACAGAAAACGAAGCTGAAAAAAAATAGAGAATTCAAAATAGACTTGATAGCTAGTAATGAATCAGAGTCCCACCACGATCTCAGCGTTTCTGTTCTTCCTCTTCTAGAAAAACATACCAGTGCTGATTAAAGAGCTAAGATAAAAAAATCCAGTCAGATGGTGCTAAATAGGCCCAAATAGGTTTTTCTAAAATAAAAGACAATATAATTCTAAGCAGTTGTTGAGCAGATAATCCAATAGCAATGTCAGGAAAATCTGCTGACTGGGGGAGAGTGCAGAAGAGAACGAATAGT